TGGGATAACAGGTACCTTAACAATTGAGCTACAAGTTCAAGTGCCTGTTTACATCGGTTTACATTCTCAGGTCACCTTAATGTCTCATATGTGCTAGTAGAACCATATTTTCCAGGTCTTTATGCCTCTCACACATTGCCACCGTTTCTAGTTTGCAGTTTTCTGCTTGTAAGATGGCCGGTTACAATAGCCTTGCACCAAAGACCAAGAATCTGATAATTGCTGGAGGCTTGTCAGCATTTGTCTTTGGGGTATATTTCTACACTATGAAAGCTGTTGGAGGAACAGATGAGCTTCAGGTTGCTATAGACAAGTTTGAGGAGCAGAAGAAACAAGAGGCTCAGGCCAACATGGCACCAAAGGCTTAATCTCTTTACTGTTGTGTTTGTGATAATGTAATTGTCCATGGCAAAAATTTCTGAGCTGCAACACCTCTTTAATTATATCGTGTGTTCAGTTTATCTATTTAGTTTTCTTTCTTGGTATACGTTATACTTGATTTCAATGGAAATAAGATTAAGAAATTCGGCTTCCTGCTGGTTTAGCATGGTCACAGCTGAACTTGGATTGCTGTGAGCCCTTACTGGGCCTGGTAGAAGAACCGACAAATATGAGCCTCTCCTAATTGTGTTTTATTTTAAAAAATATAAAATTAAATAGATTAAAAATGAAATTAAGGCAGCTGTTACTAATCACCTGGAAGAATTTCTTCAAAAACTCTGCCTAGACCAGTGCCTATATATATCTGACTTCTCTGTAGATATTCCTCCAACCGTAAATTCATATCATAGGTGAATAAGGCCTCCTGGTAAAGGGAAGGAGGCCATAGAATCAGAACCTTAAAAGGTGTGGGTCCTCGTTGGGTCTGGTAGAAGTCCTGGCAGATATGGACCTCTGAGAGGAGGACTTCTATTGCACCAGGTATAAATGGTTCATCAATGAACAATTTTAGATTATGGTAAAATTTTCTGAAAATAAGAAACTTTAGTCTTTAATGGAAAGTTAACAAAAATAAACTAAACAAAGAAGGTAAAAAATGTAATGTGATAAAAATTTAATATACTAATTATTGGTAAATTATGGATGAAAAAAAAGCTAGCATGTGTATCTGCGGAATCAGAAGAGTTTCTAAATTTTATGGTTCAGAGCAAAATCCATCGCCAAGTCCGAGCCTAAGAAGGATTATTGGTTCATCTCAAACAAGTATGTGAATCAAATGGTTTCTATATCGGATTCTAGAAAGGCATTTTGGAGGAGAAAACAGTGCCTTCTATAATTCCCCATACCTGGGTCATGTATCCTTTGATAATATAATCATTTGGGTTGATCACTGATAGAAAAAGAAGATTTTAACCTTGCAACGAGATGTGGGAGTGTCTTCATGTTATCCTCAATGGACTTGTTGACACATGACTCTAGATCATTAATGGCATCACTTCCAACCTGTTGGAGCTTAGCCGCTTCGAACTTGTCCTGGCAGACCATCAGGGATCTATTCATTCTTTCCTACATCCATTACAACAAGTAGGCCAACTTGTTATTTTGAATCAACACTAGGGCTAGGGCATGAAAGGCTGACAAGACTAAATGACATAAGATATTGAGAAGTCAGCACAGCAACTATAAAACAAAGATCGCTGTTCAAAAAAAACTATAAAACAAAGATCCATAAAAAGGATTAACAAAACATTTGCTAAGAGGTCAACGAAGGCCAAAGCCTTGAGAATAGAGTCATAGACTTCCATAACAAAGAAAGCAGACATACTTATAGAATGAAAATGTATATCTGAAGTGAGGCTATCTGATAATAAGCACACAACTGTATGAACAGAATTGATTTTTATCAAGAAACAGCTAATATACTCTTTTATTGCAACTTCTGTCATTTTCTGAATCAGGAAAAGGGAAAACAATACAAAGGAGAGAATAAAGAAGAAAAGGGAATGGCAAATTCTGCCATTAACATTCTCCTTGTCATCAAATCAAGTGCCTCCTTGTCCAGAGAAGAAATTGAAGAGGAAATGCACTCTTTAAGCTGACTTTTTGAAAGCCTACTAAACTACAGCATTAGAAAAGCATAAATTACATGAAAAAAGATGACAGTATTTCACTATAATCTAACCTGTAGGATAAGGTCCTTAAACTGAATAGACAAAAAGAAAGGGGATGGGTGAGGGAAGAGCACAAAATAAACTGCGAGGAGAAAATAATTTAGCTTTTGAATGTTTTAGCCATTCAGTGAAGAAAATGATGAGACTAGCACCAGAAAGACCTTACTTTTTTACCTGTTTCAACAAGTTAACATCGAATATCTACCAAGCAATCATAAAATCAATGAGAAAATAAATAAATAAATAAATTGATACCAGGCATCTGACAGTGCCACTTTTCACTAGAAAATAACAGAATTTAGAAGGAAAAAGTGCGAAGAGAGTGAAGCAAAGCAACTTACTTGAAACTTGGCCATCTCATTCTCAAAATGCTGTTGGGCATTAACAACAGGAACACTGCAATGCTCCACACAATTGCTTATCTCTTCCTGCTTTCTCCTCCTGTCAAAGCACTCATACGCACACTTGAAGTATGCTTGCTGTAACAAATCATCAAGGAAACAACAAACACAATCAATTTAAAGCAATTATCAGAACTTATAAGAAGAAATTCGAGAGAAATTAAGTATCTTGCTCTACTTCCAATTCTCAAAAACACAGGAAAATAACATGCATAAATCAAAATCAGAAAGGACACTTTTTTCCTCACAAGAACTGACTAGCACCCAATAACCAAAAACCCTCCTTTTTGAATACCCACCTACCTAAATCGATCTATAACCCATGGGGATGAAGAAATTGAAAACCAGAACTACCCACGAGAAAATTTCAAGAAAAGAGCCCAAATTTGTACCAGAAACATACTTAAAAACAGAAAAAAAAAAAAAAAATTTGAGAGAGTGAAGGAGAGACCTGGAGGGTGAAATTGATATGGTCTTGAACAGGAGCGAGCTGAGATTGAGCAGCTAAATTGACTTCGTTGAGCCTCTTCCTCATTCTTTCGGATACCATTTGCTGCTCCACTGCTGCTAAGTGATCCATCTTTCCTCTCTTGTTTGGCTTTCTTCTTCTTCCTCTATGTTTTCGGCTACAGAAGAAAAACTTGGGAGGTCAGAGGTTTAAGGGGTTTATGCAGGTTGCTGTTTTTCTTGGGCTAAACTGAAAATTCAAACCCAAATGGAAAACCCAGCCCAAATTCATGGATATATTTATCATTTAGTCCTCCAACTTCAGTTACGGTTTCAGTTCCGTCCTCTATTCATTCTCTCTGTAGTTGTTTCCCACCCCTCCCAACTTCATTTCATATTTGAGCTCAAGAGTTGAAAAACCACTCATATTAAAACTCAAATTCTTAATCATTGAAATGAATATCCATGAGTTTATTTTGTTAAAAAAATATTTCAAAAAAAAAAAAAAATTCATGTTGATTCTGCGATATAATATGAGGTGAAATGTGAATGATGATAAATTTGAGGCTAGTTTCTCAAAACATTCGCAGATGCCACATAACATAAGAGCTTTAGCTTTTGCCATTCTTGTTGCCATCCATATTGCTCATTGTCAGTAACAAAATCCAAACCATCATAGCTGGCAGTCCATAGAAAGGAGAGAAAATATTTATCTTTAACTAAAAATACCATTATCATTGTCATCATCAAAATTGCCATGAGAAAGTTGTTGTGGTTTTGTTTGCTTATAAGAACAACTGAACTCCGACAAAACTTTACTCTTTACCTAAAACAACACAACATCAAAAACTACAGCTGCCCCTAACTGCATATCTAACAGCACAGCACAAAGAAGAAACAACTGTATCTACACCATTGCCCCCACTTACCAGCTGTTTTCCCTCACGCACAGTTGGAATTGCAACATGATAATTCTGACTCACTAAAGACTTGCAGGAGCGTGAAATTCAGCACATTGGATAACTTCTGACCTTAGAGCTGCACTTCTCGATCGTAAATCCAACTAAATGGAATTCTGGGGGCTTGCTTGGCTCTTCCTTGAGCTCTTTCCTCCAGTCTTCTAATTCTTGGAGGTAGGCCACAAACATAGTCCTGAGCTTTTCGACCCTCGCCTGAAAGTCCAGTTAGATCCTTGACCTTCCATCTTTCAACTAGAAACTCCAGTATGTCTGCATAGTCCTTGGCAGTGTACACCCCAAGTCTTTGAGCAACAGCAGAGAAGTGGTCAAAAAGGTTGTTGTCGCAGCCATCATACATCAAGTGGGCTGGCATAGAGATTTTCTTCCTCATCATGTCAGCAAAAGCAAGGACAGTGCCATCAGGATCAATCTCAAAGAGCTTTTCCACTATTTTAGTATAGGCAGTCTCATGGCGCTTTTCATCCGCAGCAATACTACCACATATTTGAGCCAACTTCAAATCTCCATGTTCCTTAGCAAGCCTGGCTGTATTCCCATGGGAAATAAAGGTTGCCCTTTCTTGGAACGAAGTGTAGATGAAACCAAGATATGGACTATTTTCTGTACGGGGATCCTGCAAGTCAAAATTTCAGAATAGAACATTTAGCCTCTGCGAAAAATTTAGAACTTTATAAAGTTGCATTTGCCATTTATGTAAACTCAGAAGGATTTACATTAAGTTACAATCATACATCTACAGAAGCATGATAACTGTTGCTTACGCCTTTTGCAACAATTTTGTCATATCCAAAAGAAACACATCGGCAACCACAAATGTAAGTATCTCAAAAGGTAAAAATCCAAAATAAAAATCAGATAAATAAATCATAAAAATGGATTTCCCCAGTTCTTTATATACCCACTTCCTGAGAAATGCAAAGGATAAAAGCATCCAATACATTTTAGCATGTGTCAAGTAATTTGCAAACTTCTAACTAAAACTACCAATAGGAAGAGTGTACACTGTGAAGCAGGGATCTTACCATTCCAGAACTGATCAAATACTGGATAGTCTTCTCAATTTGTCTCATGTCTACTCGTCCAGATAGGTAGAGATACTTATTAAGTAGGTCACCATGCCTATTCTCTTCAGCAGTCCAAGCCCTCGTCCATATTGCCCAAGAAGTAGGGCTTGCACCTGTTTCATCCTTAACTCCATCTAATGTATTGAGCATTGTTTGGTAAGTTGGAAGAGCTTCTTCCGTGATCATATCTCCAACCAAAACAACAAAGTAATCATCCGGAATCTCCTTTGCCCTCTCTCTCAATTCCCTGACTTGCTCATTAAATCCATCAGAAGCAGGATCTGGCAGAAAATCCTGTGGTTGCCAGCATTTTTCAACCGGTTTTAGGTGAACCAAAATGTTGTTCTCAGCCCAATCCTCCAACGATTTAAAGATCTCAATCTTCTGCGGTGGCATAGAATGTGTGACCTGAAGATGCACCTCCCGAGGAGGTGTAAAAGGCTTTTTCAGATTGTCAACCTCTCTGCATTTGGAAAAAAATTAGGAGTTATATTCTAACAATTCAAATCTGTCAATATAGACAGAGAACTTAACTATATAGAACAACAACCAGTTATGCATAATAATCCATCAATAAGCTAATGACACATCCACCACTTCAACCAACCAGTTGTACAAAAGAATCTGAACCACTTCTACCAACTTAAAGAGAAAATTAAAAAGAAAATTAAGTACAAAAGAAATTAAAACATTGTGCGTTTTGCCGATTAAAAATGACCAGAAAACAATATTTAATCGGCCAGAAAACAATAGCTCAAAACCATTTTGCAAGGAGAATTCCTGAGAATTTATAAAAATATATACTATTTTATTGGAAGATTTGGGCATAAATTACTGAATCCCAACTAACTTGTCATATATGATATAAATGATTAGAGAAAATTTCTTTGAATATAAAAATTGATAAAGCAATTAATATTCTCTACCTGCCCACTAACAAACAAGAAAATACCAAGCATTAATTTTGACAACAAAAGAATCTGAAAGAGTATCCCAACACCAAATTATCACAACAAACAAACAAGAAAGTTTGAAAGAAAAAGAACCCAATAAATAAAAACGATAAAAAAAACAATTGTCATATCATTTTCTCCTATTTATGAAACAAACAGTAGCAAATTGTACTAACTATGCTGTTTCCATTACAAGAAAAATTCATAGAGTCAACCCCATCTTAAATAACAAGAAAAAGACAACCAAAAACAGAAGCAAAACATGGTGTCCCGCAGATCCAAAATCAACAAAAACCCAGAAACCCAAGAGAAGATCCATGATCGAAAAGAGGACTTAAAGCTGGAGCACTCAGAGAAATATAAGCAGGAAAGAGAAACGGCAATAAAAGAAGTTACTTGGAGGCAGAATGGAGGGTGGAGGCCATGACGAACTTGGGAGATCTGACACTGGGCATCGGAGGAAGAGCGGAAGAAGGCAGCTTCTGAGATTGAGAGGAGAATTTGAGAGCCATTTTTTTGGTTCTTGTTTTGTGTTCAAATCGCCTGCTTTGTGCGCTGGTTTCTCCGTCTCAGGTTCACTGTCCTCCACAGAAGAGAGAAGGTACTTTTGTGGGCGAAAGTGACAACTAACAGAGCCGACAATCGTATACCCTCAACTACTCAAATGCCCCTAAACCTCCATTTCATTACGAATTACCCATTCATTCGGGTTTTTCTAAAGGTTTACTTATGGGGGTTAAAAATGTATTAAGCGTTTTTTTTTCTTAATTTGTATACAAATATGAAAAGAT